CAGTCGACGTTTTTGCGAGTGAATTAATGAGCCATCTTTTTCATTTATCGTTTCGCTGACCGTTGCTTTCCTAGGGCCAGTCGATCGTATCAGTTGATAAAGGGCACGGCTGTTTCCCGTAGCAAAAGCCTTCTCCATCTCCCGAGCTTTCGATGTCCACCAGAGTTCTCTGTCTTTCCTTGGACTCTTTACTATTTGGCGTTTGAGGGATTTGCGTGTGCCGTCGTACTCGTTGTCTGCTGGTATGGCTTTCCTGGCACCAATCATGGATAACGACCTCGACGACATCAAGTGGTCTTGTGGTCGAATGGGAGAAGTCGGGCAGGCAGCACTGAACGCCGATAGTATAGCTCCTTTCACATTGTGCCACGCTTCATCCACATGCTCACTGCCACCACAGTATTGTTTTACTGTGGAGAGTTGTTGGGCTAGCTCGGATCGATACTGTTGAGCTATGGCAGTTCTTCGAAGATAGTGGATTGGCATGCTGCTTGCCGACCTGCAGTGGCCTGAAGGGAAACGAACTGTCAGGCGTGCGCGCACCATGGCGTGATCGGAATCAAGTGGTGCGCCCCAGGAAGAACGGCAGTCTTGAATTGTGGCTTTCCACCGATGACTGATGGTCACGTGGTCCAACTGGGTCCACGGTTGATTTGTAGTTGGCGGCCGCCAGATTACGCGGTGCGAACGTTTATGTTGAAAGTTCTTATTTGCCAGAAACAGTTCGTGGTCAGCACACAACTAAAGGAGTCACACTGAAGTTTGTAGAATACATTCGTCCACTTTGTTACATTCAACCTTCCTTTTGGTTTCAAGGGGGTTCTTCTCAACGTCTTTACAGGCTTGAAGGCGACTATCATTCTTTGTTGCCGTAAATGTCTGGCAGCCATCTCCGCGGCGAGCATCGGCTCCAAAACGACCACCCAAATGTGATTCCAAGGTTCTCAGACGACCTACTTGAGCATTCAAATCGCCTGCGAGGTTCACAATGTCGGTGCTTTTTGCCTGACGAATAAACCCGGATAGTTCTCGATAGAAAGTGTCCTTCTCCGCATCACAACTGCAGTCCGTTGGGGCATAAGCCGACACGACAAACAGGCACCGCTTTTTATGCCGGGAGGCATTGAGCTTGATTGAACTGGATAGCCGGACGGC